CATTAGATGACATGCACCATCCTGTGTAATAAAGAAATGCATCCTTTCAGAAGCATTTATTAGGTATCTACTCTGCATCACTTCACAACTGAGACAGGAATACTGATCTCAAGGAACGGAGAGACCAGCAAGGTGGCAACACAACCCCAAGGCAACACAGCAACAGCAGGGCCTCAGGTGGGGGGAGGCCCAGAGGCAGAAGGCAGAGCAGGAAGGCTCCTCTGACTGCACATCTACTGAAAACTCTACTCCTATTACTCTTTTAAAAGTTGTATTGTTGGGTATTTATTCCAGAGATATAAAAACACGTTCACACTAAACTATATACACATGTGTGTCCCAATTTTATCCATAATAGCTAAGAACCGGGCCAGGGATTTAGCTCAGTGGCACAGTGCCTGCCTGGAAAGTACAAAGTCCTGAGTTCGATCCCTAATACCAAAAACAATGTGAATTACATAATAGCTAAGAACCGGAAACAACCCATATGCCTTTCAATGCATAAGTGAAGAAATTGCAGCAGATCAATACCATGGAATACAAGTCAGCAACAAAAAAGGAAAAGCTATTAATATGCACAACAACTTCGATGAATATCCAGGAATGGTGCTGAGTGCGAAACAGCCAGTCTGAAGAGGTTATATACTATATGACCCCATCTATGTAATACTTTATGTCAAAACTTTAGAAATGGAGGACAGATTAGCAGTTGCCAGGGGCAGGAGGGAGGTGGGTGTGGCTATAAAAAGGCAAGGGAAGGGTCCTTGAGATGGATCCACTGCTTGGTGTCCTGAGGATAGTGGTGGAGACATGGACCTACACACATGATAAGATTGTACAGATGCAAATATATGCACATGCATGCACGCATGCATGCACACACACACACACACAAATTAATACTAAAAATAAAAGGACCCTGAACAAGATCACCACGTTGGATCAATGCCAGTACTCTGATTATGATATTATACTAGTATTGCAAAGTGTCATCCTTGGGCAAACTCGGAAAAGGAGACAAGGATTGCTCTATAAATTGCTTACAACTATGTGTAAATCTAAAACTGTCTTAGTAAAAATGTCATTTGAAATTTTTAAAATTACATTAAACTTATGTGTGGCAGATTGTTAATGATGAGGGCATAGCGTACGAAGTCTCACTGGCACGCACAATGTTCACATAAAGAGGAAAGCAGCGACTGAGATTGATCCAGTTAGAAACCACCCTGCGCTGAGCTGGATTAGGCAAGGGTTCCAGCACCCTGCCTTACACACCCTGGACTTACAAGCTGTCTGGAAACCACTAGGAAGTCTGACTTTGGTTTTTCCTAGCAGCTTCAGGAGGACCATTTGTCATTCATGAATCTTGCTATTGGGAACTGAGGGAGGTGAATTTAATTTTCAACTCATTTTTATAGTCCGTACAATAGGAAAAAGAATCCTCACTAACTAATGTACTACCTGATACACTCTAGCTTTCAGTTTTCCAAATGACACTACAATGAAGATGTGCAGGACAGAAAGTCATCAATTGAATTCAAGTGACCTGCACCTAGAAATATGTGAATTATCTGATGCTGAAAACACGGAAGGGATTAGGAGGATTGGAGGCAGCTGAAACCTTCCTTCATGCCAGGTCCACAAGGAAGCTGGGCTCCGACCACATTCTGACACCAGCAAAGGTTTTCTCTCTCGTATCCTTATGCTCTTTGGGATCTAAGGCATTTTTGATAAAGATGGACTGCATGATCAAGGTATTGATTATGTCTTTCAGCACAAGTAGGAACTTATTTCAGATAAGACAATTTCACGTTTAAAAAGTGATCCATAGTCTTTCAAGTAATGACATTTCTGCAGAAACACTCTTTAGAATAAAGCCCCTGAGAAGCAGAAAGGTTTAATTACAGAGCCCTTGTTCATGGTGACTCTATGAAAAATGATGCTGTGCTGATCAACTATTGACAAAACCAAAAAAGAGGTGTGTTTGTCTATGAGCTGAAGGAGGAAAGAAGGGACAGAAACATCCACAGACTTCCTACCCCACCCGTCAGAGCAAGAGCCTTTGTTTCTAGGCATTGCGGATCAGGAAGGAGGAAAGCACAATTGGAACCAGAAGTGGATGAAGTGGCTTTGGGAGCCCCACTCAGTCTGATCTTGTTTTCTGAGCATCAAACTGGAGTTCATGATTCCTCCGTTACCAAATCTACCAGCTACTATAAGAATCCAGGAAGAAACAATACACGATGGGTAAAAAATATTAAGGCTCTGCAAAGATAAAGGATTATTACAAATAGTTCAAAAAAGAAACATTTATTATTAAAACCTCAACAGTGGGCCAGGGATTTAGCTCAGTGGTTCCAGCACCTGTCTCACAAGCACAAGGTCCCGTGTTCGATCCCCAGTACCGAAAAAAAGTCAAGAGAGAACACATCCTAAATCAAATCCTAAAGCGTGCTTCCAAATTAAAATATTACCTGTGTATCTGTGGATAAGGAGAAAATATCCAGAAAGAATTTTAATCAATGAACTGGTTTTCTTTGAGAACTCACAATTAACCTAGACTCCTACTGGATTCAATAGGTAATAGGAGATAGATAAATAGATAAACAGATAGAGTAATAAAGTGATTTGATCTCCCAAAAGTTAATACTCAAAGTGAATTTCTGAAAGGATAACTTAATATTTCATTGATCAGCTTGTGACTTTTTATCTATGTGAAAAGCCCACCAACTGCTTTGGTTGTATTATTGTGTTGTGTTGCAATGCATTGCACTGTTTTGTTTTGTTTTGCATTATGCTGTCAGATTGTGAGGACTAAAGTTCCCATTTTACAACTGAGATGTGGGGAGCAAAGGAAAGGAAGACTCACTACCTCAGTCTAGACAGGCTGATTTCATATCACCAATGCCAATACTTCTGCTTAATAAAACACTCAACAGGGATGGTACATCCACGGGCTCTCACAGTCTCTGCCAGATTCAGAAAAGAGGCATGGACAAAAGTATTTCTTTTGGCTCCGAGTGGATTCCTTGCAAACTCAGGCCAACATCTTGGATGAACAGTGACTAGGCAACACTGCCGTCCAGTGGCAACAGTGTTTTAAGACTCAAAAACTGCCCAGCATGCACAGTATTTCAGTGAGGCGGGGTCTGTTTGCCCTCAGGCTCAAGGAAGCACCAAGAGATTATTTGCAAAGCTTTGGTGGAGGCACTAATTAAAATTCCACATATTAGTAATCTTTTTGCTCAGCACTGTTGAAACAATTCAGAGCATCTACCTCCCTTCTGCAGGTGGGAATCCCACTAGAGCAAAATTATGTATTCAAACAACGTCACAGGATAACTCTGAATCTCACAGCGTTAAGTAACCCTCTGCTGCAAAGTCAAAGGCACACTTGGTAGGCAACTGTCCTAGACAAGAGAAAAGCAAATATATGTTTTGCAAAGCAGTTATTCAAAGGTGCTTATGAACTTAGGAAATTTCCAGGTTCTTCCCTGATTAAATCAATCCACTCATTTCTTTTTTATACTGCTCTTAAATTTTCTAACGAACTATGTTAAGGATATCCTGGGTTCTTGAGAACTATCACCGTGTTGCAATTTTGTAAAGTCTATGCTAAGGAGGAAATGTCATTTTCACCGTAAGTCTCATGGTCCCCAAATCTCTGGTTTCCCTACCCTGGAACCTCCATTCCTACTGGCCCACCTGAAACCTGCTCGGTGAGTTGACGGGATTTATCCTCATTATTTTTATCTAGGTCTTAATTGTCACCTCCCCTGTCTGTCTCATGGCAGGGCTTCTGTCTCTTAGAATCCACATTTCTGCTCCTAACATGCTTTCTTCCTGAGCTGCTATAGCTACATAAACATCTTCAGAATTTATGTTTCAAAGAGGCCTGAGCTAGTTATACCAGAAGAAAACAGGGTATCCCGGGGATTTGGCTCAGTGGTTCTGCTGCCTGCCTCAAAAGCACAAGGTCCCAAGTTCAATCCCCGGTACCAAAAAAAAAAAAAAAAGAAAAGAAAACAGGGTAGCCCTAAAGAGGCCTGCCTGGTTGGTGGTGGTTAGAATAGCAACTGATGCCAACGTTGTAAAGGTCTCAGCTCTCTGAGAGTATCAAAGTACTCCTTGAAAGTTTTCTCGCTGATAATCCCAACATCCTTGAGAAAGAGTTGAGCAGCCTCATATATCAACTGGAAGGGGAATCCAAGACATACAGATGTTTCATAAGTGTCTCATAATAGTGGAGCAGCCGAAATGCAATAAATCATTCTGTGGTGTGCTATGCAGCCATTAAAATAAGGATCAGGATAAATAGTTACTGAGGTAGAAAGATGGCTACAATATATCATTAAGGAGACAAAAAAGCAGGTCATCAGATCTAATGGGCAATATGATATTTTAGTAAATGTGTAATGCGCACGCGTGCGTGCACGTGCACGCGCACGCGCACACACACACACACACACACAATACGACCAATCTAAAGCTACCATTCACAGACCATTCCCCTTAGTCTCACTCCCAAGCAGCTATTCCCAAAGAAACAAAACAAGTAAAACCGTTTCTTGGATTTTTAAAAATCTTTTAGACAAGTTCTCTAGACCTACTGGTATTCTGGTAAATGTTTACCATCTGGCTCTCCAGGGAGAGAAACTCTGAGACATGTCATTTGCCAATTTCTCTTTTTCCCCCTGCTTTAGTACTGGGATTGAACCCAAGGCCTTCACACTGAGCTACATTTTGGTCCTTTTTATTTTTGAGATAGGGTCTCACTAAATTACAAAACTACCCAAGCTGGGCTTCAATTTCTGACCTTCCTGCCCCAGCCTCCCAGAGTGCTGGGATTACAGGCATATGCCACCATGCCCAGCTGCCAATTTCATACACATATATATATATTCTCAACCAGATCAATTTCAAACTACCAAAGAGATGTCACGAGACATGGTATTAGGAAAGCTGCTTTCACTGCTGGCCCACTACTCTGGAAAACTTACCCAATCGCCTTCACAATCCACTGCCTGGTCCACCTTCAGATTGCAACCCAAAGGCCTCTTGTCTGTGGAATACACAACAGAATGCATGTCTTAGGCGGCTCTTTCTTCTTTCTGTTAATCTATATTTTCTGTCTTTCAACAAAGGCCATATGTCCCTTGGTTATTTTTTAATTATATAAACTTAAAAGGAATTTGTGTCTCTTTTATTACCTTGACATGAAGAAGATCATTATAACTAGGACACGATACCTGGATGCCATAAATAAATTTGAAGTATTCAACTACATAAAAATAAAAATGGTCACAGGATACAAAGGCTTCCATAACAAACTAGCAACAAAAGACAAACCGGAAAAAAAATACATTCAATTTGTTTCTCAGAAACAACATCTATTCTCACTAGTACATGATTGTCCAACTGACAACTTGATAAAAAAATAACCAATGGCAAATTATTTAAAATAGTTCAAAAATAAAAAAGAGATCACTCTTAGATATATGATTGACCCTTCCTCTCATAATGGGAGGAATGAAATGTAAAATTTACACAGGGCTAACATTTAATTAACCTGTCAACTGCTAAGGATTCAAAATACTTGGATGCACTTTCTATGATAGGGTTATGACTGAGTATAAAATGACAAAAGCTCTATAAAGAATGCAGTCATCTGCACCCACAAAGATGCCCAGGTGCTAATCCCCAAAACCTGTGAATATACTACTTTCCATGACAAAGGGGGCTTTCTAGATGTGATTAAAGTTATGGGTCTTGAAATAGGGAAGGTAACCTGGACCACCCAGGTGGGCCCTGTAATGTAATCGCGGGGTCTGTGTAGAAGGGGGTCTGTGAGTCACAGGAGATGTGAGGGCAGAGGCAGAGGTGAGAGGAAGAGAAGCTTGAAGATGCTTCACTGCTGACCTTGGAGATGGAGGAAGAGGCCACAAGCCAAGGAATGGAGGAGGCTCCAAGCAGCTGGAAAAGGCGAGGGAATAGATTCTCCCCCAGAGCCTCCAGAAGGAGCACAGCCCTGATGATGTCTTGGTATTAGGACTTCTGATCTCCAGAATGGCAAGGTCAGCATTTCAGGTTGTTCTAAGCCACCGTATTTGTGATTTGTTAAGGCAGCAGCAGGAAACTACGGCAGACAGCACTTTGTATCCACACATATTTGTATTAACTTTGGCCCAACAAACTCCCTACCCACGAATTTAAGCTAAGACATAGTCACATATATACAAAGTGATGCACACACTGCTTTGTTGTTTGTACCAGCAATTGGAACCTACATAACTGTCCCTCAAAAGGAGGCCGATTTTTTAAAGTGACAATATACCCACCCCATGTAATATTATGCAACCATAGAAAAGGAATGAAAAGGTTCTTTATTCCATGATATGACAAAAAGAAAGTGATTTTAGTGCAATAAGTACAGTTGCCTTGGTAGACTAACAATTGTGTAGGAACAGGAAGGAGGGAGAACATATATTCACAAGTATGAATGAAAGAATAAATAAGAAATTAACAATATGTGTTGCCTATGTGGAAGGGAAGTAGATGGCTGGACCAGAGAAGGGAAAAAGAGATTCTTACCAAACAACTTTCAAATTTTGTCCAAATCTATGTATGTAATATGAATATATTACCTCTTCAAAATGTAAATAAAAGACAAAAAGATTGTAAATTAAACAAAAAGGAGAGTATGTAACTTGGCATAGGCCACACACCAAGCCAGGAAAGAGGCCACATCAGCAGCAGGACTTGGCAAAACCTTTCTAAGTCTGTGAGATCAGTCACGCCATAAACTCCAATGCTCTAGAACCAACAGGATGAACTCAAGGCATTGTCTGCAGCCTAAGAAGCAGGTGAGAGGGCAACTTTTCAGTCAAGTAGGGTATAGGCAAAGGTCTGTGGTGAGCTAGAACAGAGCTAACCTCCCACTGTCTCCAGATGGAAATTTATATTTGCTTTAGGTCATGGGTAAGCATTCTTTGGCAATCCTTTCAGACATTGTGTCCACTTGCAGGAACCTTGTAAATTTACCAGATTCAACAAATGAAACTACGAGATGCCCAATTAAATGTGAATTTCAGACAAACAGCAAATACAGTGGGTTCTCTGTATCCATGGATTCTGCATCTATCTTCAGATTCAACCAACCTTGACCAAGATATTTGAAAAAAATCTGCATCTGTACTGAATATGTGCATAATTTTTATCAGCATTCCCTAAATAATAAGGCAGAACAACTATTAACACAACATTTATGTTGTTGTAAGTATCTATAGAGATGGTTTAAAATATACAGGAGAATGTGCATAGGTTACATTCAAATTTTATCCTATTATACATTACGGGACTTGAGCATCCAAGGATTTTGGAATTTATAGGAGATCCTGGAACCATTACTCCTTCAATACAAAGGGATGATTGTGATTAAAATTATTATTAAAAATGTTTAAGTATTTGCTATTGTTTATGTAAAATTCAGTTTTAACCAGAAGTCAATTACATTTGGCAATTCTAAATCTAGGGCATTACAATGACAGAGCAGATGGGGGCCAGCAGGAGAGGACAACATGGGTGTGGCCCCCATATCAGAAGGCCATTGCTCTCCCTGTCAGCGTATGGACACATCCATCTGACAGGAAGGCCTAGAGTTCAGGATTGTGTGATAAGGAACTGCCTTGCTTGGACAGTGTCACTGGCCGATGACAAAGTTACGTGGTCCAGGGAAAGTCAGTCCCTAAACTCACTGCTGGCCCTGGAGTTTCTCCTAAAGTAACATATAGAATGTTCTGGAAGCTTGGAATGGGGGCAGGGAGTGTCAGGCAACCCAGAGAAATGTTCCCCCAGCTCAGGTAATAAACGTATTCCTTTCCCCAAAATACCATTAAAGATGTTTAAAAAAATCTTTAAAATACAAAAAAAAAAAAAAAAAACTTTAAACTGACCTCCTGCCAAAGTCCACATCAATTACACAGCTTCAGTCAGGCGGATGCCCGAGGAAGCGGGATAATGTTACACCCAGCTGGGCACTTTGTAGTTAGCACAAATGTAATATAAAGCGCAGCAGAGTTCGTCAAGTGTCTGTCTGGATTTTCAGTTTTCATTAGTGCTATAATTAAAACCACATTTTCAGCTCTATTACCTGTAACAAGAAAGGAATGAGGAATGAGGTTGTCAAGGTCAGGCTTTTCCAGCGATTTATACTGAGGATCTGCAGGCCACGAGTGGTTGGATTTGGTGTAAACCAGAGCGACCAGCCCAGTGTCGAGAGCCGACCCATCCTGTGTGGCTTGAAAGGCACACTGATGAGGTCACTTCCTGTGAGTGGCCGCTGGGCATGACGTCTACAGCGAGGCCAGGACAGGACTGGTGGCCCTGGAAGCTGCCCAGGCCCCTGCAAAGGTTTCTTTCCCATGAAGACCCTGCTGGCTACACAGCCCCCAGGGCAGCGATCCTCAGAATCGCTTGTTGAGGACGAGATTCCTAAAAGTCCAAGGGCCATCAATTTGCTACCTTGATTTGAGATTGTGCAGGACAGGGCTGGATGGGAAGGTGACTGTCAATGTCTCCCGAGGACCCCCACCACCTGCGCTCACCTCCCCAGCCCGCACCCCCAGACCCCACTTCTCACCCGCACCCTGGTCTAGAACGCCTTCCTTCCTCTCCTCCATTCTGGTAAGAGTCTTCTCAGGCTTCTGTCTCAGGCTCTTCCACACACCGCACTGGCTCTTCCCAACAGGGAGGCCAGACCGCGTCACCCTCCAGCTCTTCCGGGGTAACATCCGGGCCCTTCGCATCGTTGTGGCCCCTGTCCCTCTAGCCCGTGCCTTCTCTATGGCCCTCTTCCTTAGTGTCCAGCCCAGCTCCTCCTGCCTCTCTGGTCCACAGACCTGCCACACACACTCAGGGCCTCTCTGCACTTGCTGCTGCCTCTGCCTGGACTTCTCTGCTTGCTGCCATCTTCATGCTTGCTCTTGACTCCAAAGGTGCCTTTTATAGAGAAGGCTTCCCTGACCAACCTACTTCACAATCAGGCATCCCCCGTTTCCACTCTTGCCTTTATTTTGCTCCATCACACTCATCATCATCAGGTCTGCAATCTCTGTTTTGCTTATTTATCTTCTTTAGATGACTGTTTCTCCCTGTTCCTCAGAATGTAAACTTGAGACCAGAGATCTTTGGCTTTTCGCTCACTGCTATACACCTAGTACTTGGAGCTTGACACCCAATAAACACCCAGCAAACATGGAATGAATGAAGAATGAATGAACGCAATCAAGATGGCTCCAGCCAGCTCTAAGTGGGCCCACTGGGTGAATAGGCCCCAGCCTCGAACATGCAGAAACTGACTGCTCACGCACCCATGATGCCAAGTGTGACAAGTTAGCACCTCACAAGTGTGTTCGCCAGGCAAACCTCAAGGTGGCTGAGGCGCATCCTTCCCCATCAGGAGCACTTTTGGAGAGTTGACAGGGAGCACCTCCCCCCAGGTGGGAACTGGGCCCCTCAGCCTGTGGAGGGGCAGTGACCTCCCTCAGTAATACTGCCTCCTTGCATTCTGGCCCAGAGCCTGGGTGAGTTGGACCCAAACACTGAGCACCCCTGTTTGACAGTTAATTTTATTGTCTCCTTGGCTTGGCCACAGATCCAAGATATGTGATCAAACATAGGCTGGATGTTCCTACGAGGGTGCTTTTGAATGAAGCTAGCATTTAAATTGGCAGGTTTTGAGTAAAGCCAATTGCCCTGTGAACTGTGGGTGAGCTGGCCTACCCTCAGCAAGAGGGAATTCTGCAGCCAGGGGTCTTTACACCCAAACTGCAGCACTGGCTTTGCCCCAGGTCTCCAGCCTATGGGGCTACCCTGCGTGTTCTGGATTTGCCTGCATTCATACCAGGGGAGCCAATTTCTTAAAAGGAATCTCCTTCTGTACAGACGTTCTGTACAGACCTTGTTTCTCTGGAGAGGCCTGCCTAATACACATGCTGGCATGTGCTCAGGCGGTTTTCCAGGGCCAACCCTTCTACAGGGCCTTAGCCTCTCCTGAGGGCCACCTGTGCTGGAAACAGGAGCTGCTGCCAGGGACAAGGATTCTTCCTTCCACCAATGCACCAATACTCATGCAGCCTCCGGCTTCCAAGAGCTCCTTGTGGGTCACTTCCCAGGCTGAAATGAATCCCTTCATGATGGGGAGTGAATCCCATCTAACAAAACACACATATAACACATGAATCTCACAGATGCTCATCTCAGCCATGGCAGCTTAAGTGCTGAGAACTCTGAGGAAAGACTGTTTAGGATGCCATCGCAAGCTGCCTTCTTGGAGCACTAATATTAATTCAAATGCTGCAGGCATCACTCACATCATGCATCATGCATCACTTACACTCTGAGAGGCTGCAAAGGGAACACAGTGGTTTAGTCCATGAGACTACTCCAGTCCGCATTCCACCAGAAACTAGCGGTGTACACCATACCTACTCCCCAGCCTCAGTTAGCTCATCTTTAGAATGGGATGGAAGATAGCACCCACCTCATGGAGCATCATAGACCTAGGGAAACAACACGAGAGAAGAACACATCTCCAGACCACACACAGCCCAGCCATGAGAATGCAACTTTTACTGATTCCAGAGCCATGACCCCAACCTTTCATGAGACTTTCAGAACCCACGCAGTGCTCCATAGAATGCGATTCAATCAGTTATGTGAGTCGCAAGTAGAAAACAGAAAATACTTAGGGAAGACATAAACGCCAAAGAGCTGGTCCTGGAAGTAGAAGGAATGGGAAGGTGTTTCGTAGATGTCTTGAATTGGAAGAGCTCTGACCAGCCATGCTGCCATAGCCCTTGGAATGTCACCTCCCGCCCTGATTAGCTCCTGCAATTCAAGCTGGGCTCACTACAATTCAAGCAGGCTGAAAGGTGAGGAAATGCACAAGTTATTCCTGGAGTAAGAGAATAAATGATAAACCAGTAAATGCATAGATTCATCCATATCAGGAAAGAAACCAAAAAAGGAACAATTAGAAAGAGGTGGGAGGGAAACGTGCAGAAGAGGTGAGTCATCAAGACAAGAAGCAGATTCATGGATGCCAGGGGCTGGGGAGCCACCTCTTTAAGGGTGTTTGCTTTCTTTTGGGGGTGATGGAAATATTCTGAAGTCTGGTAATGGTGATGGCTGTACAGTATTGTGAATACACTAAAGATCACTGTGTTGGACACGTCAGTGGCGAATTTCATGTCATATGAAGTCTTACTGTGTGAATTATACCACAATTTAAAGTTCTTAATTTAAAAATACCTGGTGGCTCAAATAGGGGCCTCTTTGAGATATGGTAGATGAACTCCTCTCTGCAGAGCTCCTGGGAGCCTGAGGACTGGGAAATGGGAAGGAGCCAGCCACAGGGAGATGTGCAGGGACTTCATGGAGCAGACAGAAGAGTAAACACTGAGGAGGTCAGCACACTGTCCCCAGGTCCTCCCCATCATTGAGGAAGGAAATAAGAGAGCGAGGAGACAGTCTGAGGGGGAGGAAGAAGCTGTATCCCACAAGGCCTTCGCAGGCACCGAGGAAGGAGGACCTCGTTCCAAATGAATTTGAGAAGCACTGAAGGCCTTATGCAAAGATGCCCTGCTCCATTGAAAAGTCACTCCTGGCTCCCGGCACATGAAGCATCAGTTACCAGGAGGCAGGACCAACATAAAGTGTGTATCAAGACAGTAGGGCTTTCCCACTTTTAACAGAACTGTAACCAGAGGATGCACGGTAGATGAGCTTATTCTTAAGGAAAACATGTTATAAAAGGTAACATGCAGCAGTATGGTTTGTCATCTCTTCTAAAAGGCACCTGATTTCCTTCCCTGTGAAATGCAGAGTAATAAAAGGGTATCCCCCATCATCTCCACCTGGCTCCTTTTCCTAAGGAGGATGGCCATGCTATTATTAAGACAAGAGCACCCTCTACAGTTATAAGTCTATATAGCAGCTTATAATTGAACAAAGCTCGGAACAATGTACTGTGTACTCATAAGCCTGAAAAGTTGCCATCCACTAAGCCCATGCTATCATGACAGGCTAGTTCTTCCAATGCTTTCCTGAAAACCAGAGGAAAATTTTAAAAGAGAATAAAATCAGCAGCTTTCTTGGACAACTGTAATATAAACACAGATTGATCTATCTGCCCTTGGGGATAATATTCTCCCTCTGTGGAGAAGTGTGTGCATGTGTGTATATAAACAAATGTATACCCGCTGCTAACCAGTATTCTACCTCATTATATAATGGCAAGGAGAGAGCATGTGTTCGAGTGATCATCTCATGTTCATTTAAATATTTGGCATCAACTCAGCAAAAAGTACTTAAAACGTAAGCGTACGTTATCTATTGCCACCAAGTGATAGAACAACATCCTAAGTGCATGCCTTTCACTGGTCCTGGGACAGTGGCAGGAGGTGGGCAAGAACTAGAAACCTCCTGTTGAGTGATGGTTTAAATACATTTGAAAAAGCAATGGGCATCTCAGGCGTGGCCTTGAGCAAAACAATGTGGAAAGATGAATGGAAACATGAAAATCTGGTAGGATGTGACAAAAATAACCCCCCAAAGGAGGGACTTTTAAAAGGATAGCCTGGGTCTCTGCTGGAGAGAAACCAAGGAAAGGCGACTGGTCCCAGAGGACTGCACTGTTGGCCAAAGCTAAGCAGCCTGGAAAATGGGGAGTTTGGACTTGTGAAAGGATTTTTATTGCTCCCTTCCATGCAGTGGACTCCTGGTCCCTTGTTCTTGGGCAACATTTATTCAGGAAGAAGCAAGAAAAAGAAGATATACTGGGCACCTAAATTTGTAATGTGTGTTCAAAACAGCCTCCCTTCTTTAAAATTTGCAGGCTACTGGAGTCGTGTGGAACACACCGAATCAGCCCACTGCAGACAGGCAGGTCTGCACATGTCCTACGTGGTCACGAGTCGCACAGAGCATGCCAAATCAGCCTGCGCCCTGGCAACAATCCACTGCCCCCCCTCACACTCCTCTGTACAGCCACCTGGTTCCACACTACAAAGACGCAGAGGACACCAGACCACCAGACCACAGTACTGAGTCCTGCCGCTCCCAGCCCAGAGGTAGGGGCTTCTGAGCCACCATCCCACTGCTCCTGGTCCAGAGGAAGGGGCTTCCCAGCCACCATCCCTCCCACTGCTCCCAGCCCAGAGGATAGGGCTTTTGGGCCACCTTCTGTCCTGCTGCTCCTGGCCCAGAGGAAGGGGCTTCCAGGCCACCATCC